GTGAGCAATCTTTTCCTGTACAAGTTAAAGGAGAAAAACTTTATATAAATATGTATATGTTATCCACCATCTGGACTCAGGCCCCAGCTAGGATCCTCCTGCTACGTGTGATATGGGCCCATAGAACAAGACTGAGAGCTCAGTTCAGAAGCAAGTGAAAATTGTATTCTTTGATCAGGCATGGGGAGGTAAGGGCTTCTGCTCTAGAACACAGCTCTCCCTGTGGGCAAGGCAGTTTTATAGGGTCCTGACACTGGGAGCGGAGGGGAGGGGAAGGGATAGAGTTCTCATTAGGCAGGCACAGCGGTGCTGTTTCAGATTGCAGGGCTCACGCGGTGTTTCTGCACAAGCCCCGCCACCATCACGCACAGTGGTTCCAGGCTGTGCACTCTCATCTTATGTGTCAGATGTAAGCTCTTTGCCTGTGGCCTGCTATAGGCAAGTGAAGCTAGACTAAGCTAGCTTAAGTTAAAGAAGAGGTTAGACTGTATCACCTAGATTCCATCTTCTTTTTCTTAGGGACTCCAGTGGGGTTTTGCTGGTGACAAGTATATTTATTTTATATAAACTTAAAGATTTATTTATATGTATAAAGGATTCCCTGGTGGCTCAGATGGGAAAGAGTTTGCCTGTAAAGTGGGAGACCTGAGTTCAATCCCTGGGTCAGGACGATCCCCTGAAGAAAGAAACGGCTACCCACTCCAGTATTCTTGCATGAAAAATCCCAAGGATGGAGAAGCCTAGTGGGGCTACAATCCATAGGGTCACAAAGAGTTGGACACAACTGAGTTTATATATAAATATATATATATAAAGTTAAATATATAATATATATAAATAACTTTAAAATGTCCATCTATATCTATGTCTATTTATACTCCATGTAATAGAATAATAATCAGTTAGAAAATGGGCACTTCATTATGGCCCCTAAAACATAACATCAAGACATCATTGCAAATAAGTAGCAATATTGAGGCAGCCTTTCAATCTTTCTTGCAATTATGCTGAGGGCTGAAGTTAGGCTCATTCTTTTGTTTTCCCTCTGGAATATTAATGTCTACCATGATTTAATTGCCACCTCCCTGTGAGAAATTTCCAAAATCTCCAGCTCTGACCCTCTTCTTAAACTATAGACCCCGAGTCCCAATGTCCTGACAGTACCTCAAACTGAGCCTGGCTCAACAGAACTCACCATCTTCCTCCCTCATCCTACTGAATCTGCCATCCTTTTTTCTTTCCATCTTCCTAGGCTTCAAGATCTGTGTAGAAGCAAAGAGCATTGTTTTGAAATTGTGTAGTGATAAATACAGTACTGTTAGTGCTGTAAGAATGTTTTTAGAATATGTGGCTGTAGACTTTTAACAAATATGATAGTGAGTGGAATATTTTTTTTTAAAACAGCAACACAGAAATCGATGAGTCAACATTTAAGTTTAGGAAATCCAAATAAATAATATTCTCTAAAAATGCTGCATGATAAACCTAATACAATTCTTTTTACAATGTAAATAGAATTCTGACAAGTTGGGGAGAGTTATGTCTTTCTTCCTTATATTTTTAATAAGTGAAATAGTAATTGATGACAACAATCAACCTTGACTAAGGCTCCTGACTAAGAGCCTTGTATGTATCAGAACTGAATAGCAGGCCTTGAATTCTAGGATTTTATAGATCTTCTGGAATTTCATTCATTAGCACATTGATAAAAAAACTAAGTGATGAAGCAGTAGCTGAAGTTATCAGTGAGAAAAAAAAGAGAAATGTTCAGGGATTTTCATATTATTTGTGAAATCACTATATTGGCTTGAGTTTATAAAATTTAAAAACAGCCTATGTATGACATGTTTCACCTTGATAAAAGGAGATGAAATAATCCTAAATTATTCTGCAAAGTTCTATGAAAACTTTGATCTATAATAGTCTTATAAGAAGCAATTAGTTAGAGTCCACAAAGAGTTCAGTTCAGTTCAGTTCAGTCGCTCAGTCGGGTCGGACTCTTTGTGACCCTATGGACTGCAGCACACCAGGCCTCCCTGTCCATCACCAACTCCTGGAGTCCACCCAAACCCATGTCCATCGAATCCAACCATCTCATCCTCTGTTGTCCCCTTCTCCTCCTGCCTTCAATCTTTCCCAGAATCAGGATCTTTTCCAATCAGTCAGCTCTTCGCAACAGGTGGCCAAAGTATTGGAGTTTCAACTTCAACATTGGTCCTTCCGATGAACACTCAGGATTGATCTCCTTTAGGATGGACTGGTTGGATCTCCTTGCAGTAAAAAGGACTCTCAAAAATCTTCTCCAACACCACAGTTCGAAAGTATCAATTCTTCGGCACTCAGCTTTCTTTGTAATTCAACTCTCAAATCCATACATGACTACTAGAAAAACCATAGCTTTGACTAATGGTCCTTTGTTGACATGTAATGTCTCTGCTTTTTAAAATGGTGTCTAGGTTGGTTATAACTTTCCTTCCAAGGAGTGTCTTTTAATTTCATGGCTGCAATCACCATCTGCAGTGATTTTGGAGCCCCTCCCCCAAAATAAAGTCAACCACTCTTTCCACTGTTTCCCATCTATTTGCCATGAAGTGATGGGCTCGGATGCCATGATCTTAGTTTTCTGAATGTTGAGCTTTAAGCCAATTTTTTCACTCTCCTCTTTCACTTTCAAGAGGCTCTTTAGTTCTTCTTCATTTTCTGCCATAAGGGTGGTGTCATCTGCATATCTGAGGTTATAGATATTTCTCCTGGCAATCTTGATTCCAGCTTGTGCTTCATCTAGCCCAGCGTTTCTCATGATGTACTCTGCGTATAAGTTGAATAAGCAGGGTGACAATATACAGCCTTGACGTACTCCTTTCCTGATTTGGAACCAGTCTGTTGTTCCATGTCCAGTTCTAACTGTTGCTTCCTGACCTGCATACAGATTTCTCAGGAGGCAGGTCAGGTGGTCTGATATTCCCATCTCTTTCAGAATTTTCCTGCAGTTTATTTGATCCACACGGTCAAAGGTTTTGGCATAGTCAATGAAGCAGAAATAGATATTTTTCTGGAACTCTCTTGCCTTTTTGGAGATCCAGCAGATATTGGCAATTTGATCTCTGTTTCCTCTGCCTTTTCTAAAACAAGTTTGAACATCAGGAAGTTCGTGGTTCATGTATTGCTGAAGCTTGGCTTGGAGAATTTGGGGGGAGGGATGGGTGGCACTCACTTTGGAGAGAAGAATTTTGAAGGTATTTTGAAGAAAGAGGCAGACTTTGCTATTGCCTACTTTGAGAGGGGGTAAAAAGGAGAAATGTGGTTGCCATTTACCGAGATGAGGAAGTCAGAGCAAGTAGTGGGTCTGGGGGTGTCAGATTTGAGTGAACTGGGTTTGAGATGTCTACTAGCATAGCATCCAGAGGGCTCTCCAGATGGCCCTAGTGGTAAAGAACCCGTCTGCCAGTGCAGGAGGCATAACCATGAGACACGGGTTCGATCCCTGGGTTGGGAAGACCCCCTGGAGGAGGGCATGGCAACCCACTCCAGTATTCTTGACTGGAAAATCCCATGGACAGAGGAACCTGGCAGGCTACAGTCCACGGGGTGGCAAGGAATCGGACACAACTGAACGACTTAGCATGCAGCACTAGCGAGGAGCTCGGGTTGGTGCGGCCCCCTCCCCACCTTTCCTCTTCCCTCTCAGTTTTGATGGCAGGGGCTGGGACCCCCATGCCGCAAGGCGTGAGCACCTATAACTACTAGCTGAGTCTCGCTGCCCGTCAGGGGCTGCTATCGGCTTGAGCCTGGGGCGCATTTGTGTGGGGTTTTTTTTTTTTTCCATTTATTTTTATTAGTTGGAGGCTAATTACTTTACAATATTGCAGTGGTTTTTGTCATACACTGACATGAATCAGCCATGGATTTACATGTATTCCCCATCCCCATCACCCCTCCCACCTCCCTCTCCACCCGATCCCTCTGGGCCTTCCCAGTGCACCAGACCGGAGCACTTGTCTCATGCATCCAACCTGGGCTGGTGATCTGTTTCACCCTCGATAATATACATGTTTCGATGCTGTTCTCTTGAAACATCCCACCCTCGCCTTCTCCCATAGAGTCCAAAAGTGTGTTCTGTACATCTGTGTCTCTTTTTCTGTTTTGCATATAGGGCCTGGGGTGCATTTGAATGATCTGTTTTATCAGAGCCACGTGTTAGTAATTATTCCAAGGCGGACGTCTGCCGGCTGTGGCTTTGGCAGTTGGGTGTGGACTTGTGTGAAAAGTGAAAGTCGCTCAGTCCTGTCCTGTTCGACTCTTTGCGACCCCACGGACTGTATAGTCCATGGATTTCTCCAGGCCAGAATACTGGAGTGGGTAGCCTTTCCCTTCTCCAGGGTATCTTCCCAAACCAGGCCTTTCGTGTTGCAGGCAGATTCTTTACCAGCTGAGCCACACTTGTGTAGGCCAAGGAAAAGGCTCACTCTGCAGATACAAACATGGGAACCAATAGCTCGTAGTCGGTGTGTGAAGCCATCAGGTCAGCAGACGTGTGAATTTAGGAAGAAATGTGTGTAGTTTAGTTCCGGGATCCGTGTTCTGTATGCATTTGCCTATGCATACATTAAACACCTGGGACACCGACAGCACTTAACAAAGATGGTTGCAATTTTTTTTTTTAATTAATAAAGCCATCCGTAGAGGCTCGCCTCTGGGCAGCCTCCCGTCCGGCCAGGATACCGCGCATTTTGTGACAACCACGCACCCTAAAAGAAATCGGGGAAGAAGAAATGACTGGATGCGGTAGAAGTGACGGGCATATATAGATGGAATGGTGTCAGTCCAACCCTTTCCTTTTACAGGTGGGGAGGCGGAGGCTCGGGGAGGTGAAGCGCAGCTAACTGGAGGCGGAATGAAGCTTCCACCGCGCCCGCTGTGCTCCGGGTCTTCCCCACCCCACCCCACCCGACCAAGCTGCCTCTCCCATCCTAGCCCCAGCCCGGCTGGTCCGCGACATAATGCAGCCTCTTCCGATTCTTAGTTCCTGGAAACGCCGGCTTCTAGCCGCACTGCTACTGTTTGTGAGGAGATGCCCGGCTCACAGAGCCGGGCTTGACTGCCGCGAGAGCCGGGAGGGAAAACGGCCGGGCAGGCGCGGGTTTGCGCTCTGGAGCCGCGCGCCCTTGGGTTCTTTGCGCACGCAGGAGGCACTTGGAACTCGGCGCCGGGTGCTCCCAGCCGCCGGCAACTGGCCGGGTCGAAAGGGAGGGAGAAGGAGGGCGCTCGCGGGTCCGCCGGGCCTGAGCCTGGGCTGCAGCCCCGGGGCGGGGAGCGGGGCGGGGCTGGGAAAGTTGAGTCTTAGCGGCGGAGGGCTGGGCTCCGCGCGGCAGCGCCCGCCACCGCGGGGACCGTAAAAGGTTGGAGCGGGCTGGGGAGGTGTGGCTCTTCCTGCGTGACCTGAGCCCCCGTCTCGGTCGCCGTCGTCTCCCGCAGCCGCGGCCTCTCAGTCATGGGCGCCGTCTGGTCCGCCCTGCTGGTCGGAGGGGGTCTGGCCGGAGCGCTTTTCGTTTGGCTGCTTCGGGACTCGGGAAAGGAGGGGAATGCGGAGCAGAGGAAGGACGCCCCCTCAAGGGAGGCTGAGGCTGCGGGAGGAGATCAGGGCGGTGGCGGCGGCGGACTGAGCCCCGGACCTTCTGCCAAACCAGGTATTCTTCCTCCCAGTGTCTCCTGGGCAGATCTGCCAGGGGGGCTTTGAAGTTCCTCGGGGGAGCGGGAGGGATCCACCTGGAGCTTTCCTAGCAGTCCTTTCCCGGGGACCAGCTTCCTCTAGCCGGAACGCGACCCTCGCCGCGATCGGCATTTCCCCCGGCTGCTGCGCACGCCCCCGGCGGTGTGCTCGCCCCCGCCGATGCCCAGACGGTTCGTCAAGGGGCGCGCCCCGCCGAGTCGCTGCCCTTGGCGCCTGCCCCTGCTCCTCGGGCGGGGATGGGCTCCTCCGCTCGCTGGCGCTTGGTGCAGTGCAGGCAGCTGCAGCGGCGGCGCCCCTTCCGGGCCTTCGGAAAGGGGTGCTTAGGTTAAGAGATCCTCCCACCCTCCCGCGTCTGTCCGAGCTGGGACACTGTCTCATCTCAGTCCCAATCCCATAGCCTCATATCCTCCTATCCCTCACCCCAGGGAAGAGCCGCGTTTGGGAACACGGAGCAGTGACCACCCCCCTGCTCTCTGGACGCCTCTGTCAGGGAGGCAAAGTTCAGGCTGGAGTCTGGCCATGAAGGCCTCGGCTAAAACCCTGGGGCGGCTCCCTGGCAGCCGATTTCGAAGCTGTTGCCCCACCCCCCACCCCTATGCTCACCGGAGCAGGGCTCGGTTGTCTAAAACCCCAGCGAAGAGGCACACTTCGTAGCGGCCCCAAGTCCGAGGAACAGAATTGACATCTAGGTTTAGACGTCTGCGCTTTAGACCCCGTGTGCTGGGCAAATAAGGGACTAGGCAGAAAAACTTGCCTTCCAGCGCCCTCCCTTGGCAAGCTGCCCATCCTGGGATTCCAGCCTAGTCAAAATGACATCTGTAAACTTTATTTTTAGTGGAGTGGTGTTCATGTGTAGCCACTTGATAAATCTGCCTCTCTGTCTTTCCTGCAGAGAGCTCGTTGGTCGTCTTTTCCCTGAAAGCTAGCCTCCTGTTTCAGGTGGAGACATTGGGAATTCAAAGTAATTTTTGTTTATGCCTCACTTCCAACCCCACCATTAAAAAGAGACAATTAAACAACATCGCCCTCTTCCCACTCCCATCCCCCTCTCAATCCCCTTCTATACTGATTGAATGGCTCTGGAGACCTTGTAGGGAGCTATTTGGACTATCAATGAGGTGGCCAAGAAGTAAGCTGAGTTTTCCGTTAAAGTTTTTATCCCTTAGTCGTGTCCGACTCTTTGTGACACCCATGGGCTGTAGCCAGCCAGGCTTCTCTGTCCATGGGATTTTCTAGGCAAGAATACTAGAGTGGGTTGCCATTTCCTTCTCCAGGGATCTTCCCAACCCAGGGATTGAACCTGGGTCTACCACATTGCTGGAGAAGGCAGTGGCAACCCACTCCAGTACTCTTGCCTGGAAAATCCCATGGATGGAGGAGCCTGGTAGGCTGCAGTCCATGAGGTCGCTAAGAGTCGGGCACGACTGAGCGACTTCACTTTCACTTTCATGCATTGGAGAAGGAAATGGCCACCCACTCCAGTGTTCTTGCCTGGAGAATCCCAGGGACAGAGGAGCCTGGTGGGCTGCCGTCTATGGGGTCGCACAGAGTCGGACACGACTGAAGTGACTTAGCAGCAGTAGCAGCAGCTACCACATTGCAGGCAGATTCTTCACCTTCTGAGCCACCAGGGAAGTTACTTTAACTAACTAAATAGCCTGTGTTTTGTTGAAGCGGTTCCCAGTGCACATGGGGTTGGCAAGGAGAATCCAGCCCTGTCCCCCCACCCCACCCCCCTTGCCCAGGGATGCACTGCTGTCCTTCATATTCTGCCACAGTGACAGCTGCTGCTGGCCTGTCCACACTGTGACCACCAATGCCTGACCCACACACAGTTCCTGGGACGGAAGGTGTGCTCTTCTGGTTTGCAGGGTAACTGTGTAGCTTTTCGTCACACAGGCTGGACAGCAGTTTTTGATGATAGGAGCCAAACAACTTGACTTGATTGCATGCCAGTATGGCCTGCACTGCGGAGATCCAGGACCATGACAGGGTTACACGTCCGCCGCTACAGCTTGCCGCCTTGTTGACACTCTCGTGCTGGCGTCCTGGCGCTCCTGGATATGCCTGTTATTATTGGATGTGCTTTGCTTAATTGCTCAGTCATGTCTGATTCTTTGTGACCCCAGTGGACTGTAGCCTGCCAGGTTCCTCTGTCCAAGGGATTCTCCAGGCAAGAATACTGGAGTGGGATGCCATGCCCTCCTCCAGATCTTCCTCACCCAGGGATTGAACCTGGGTCTCCTGCATTGCAGGCAGATTCTTTTATCTGAGCCACCAGGGAAGCCCCTTATTATTGGATATATGTGTTTTTAGAGCAGTGTTAGGAATGCACCAGGTAACTAAGTACTTGATTTTAATATAGACAAATTCTGTGAACTGCAGATAGATTAGTAGTGGAGTCTTTAATAACTAAACCTATTTCCTCAACCTAGCTTATTGAACTGCCCAAACACTATTACATTTTTCTTTTGTTTTTTTAAGAGCATCTTCAAGAAAGCAATGGATGTTTGGTTTCTGAGACCAAAGGTCCCGGTGACCTTCCTGGAGCAGCATGGAGACAGCAGAGTCCTTCTGGAGAAGCTGGTAACCCTGATAGTTCAAGAGCGCATGTTCCCTCTGGCCCGTTTCCAGACACAGAATCTCTAACTACCTCTGAGACTGGTAACTCTAGAAGTTACTCTGACGTTTCAAGACATGAAAGCCTTGGATCTCCTATGGGAGAACGGGGATTGCAAAAAGGCACAGAGACACCTTCCAAAGCAGTTCCATGTTTGGCAGAGAAGTTTCCCTCTAGCAACCTGCTCCTGGGCAGAGGGAAAGAAGTGAACCCCGCACAGCTGGACTGCCAGACCCGGGCTGATCATGAGGACTGGGAGATGGTGTCCCGGCACTCGTCCTGGGGAGATGCTGGTTTGGGTGACGGTCTTGGGTCTCCAGTGTTAAGCGCTAAGCAGGGAAAGAATTGGCACAGAAGCATGCTGGTGGAAGCAAGAGGTCAGAAAGAGTGTCGTCAAGTTAGTGTCAGGTTCCAGGTCCATTATATCACAAGTGCTGGCGTGCAGTTCATCGCTGTAACTGGAGACCACGAGAGTCTTGGGAGATGGAATGCTTACATCCCACTCCAGTGTAACAGGGATGGATTCTGGTCTCGGTCTGTGTCCCTGCCGGCAGACACAGTGGTGGAGTGGAAGTTTGTGGTGGTAGAGAACGGAGAAGTTGCTCGTTGGGAAGAATGCAGCAATAGATTCTTAGAGACTGGTCATGAGGATAAAGTGGTTCACAGGTGGTGGGGGATTCACTGAATCGCTTTGACAAGCAGCCAAGAGGCTATGGGAGAGCATGCAAGGGGCTAAGGTCGTGGAGCACCCGGAATAGTTTAAGATAAAGGAAGTGTAACTTTAAATCTAACTCCTCAGACTTGTTTCAAATTTGCTAGTGGCTTTTGTCTAATGTGTAGATAGCGCTTCCAGTGAGCATGGCATTTCCTGTGGCATTGCTGGATAGATTTATGCTGATCCATCATTACTTTAGGGCTTGGTCATCTTGGGGAGTGGCTTGGCTAAGTGCACAGTGGTCAGGGAGCACGGAAACCAACTGTGCAGGGTTTAGACTTGAGCCTTTCAGTGATTCTTAGACTAGGGGAGTAAAACAAGCCTTATTCAAAAAGAGATTTCCTATTCCTACTGGTGCAGCTGGAGAAATGCTCTCTTACACATTTTATATTTAAAACTCATTAGCACCATATGGAACTGTGATGAGAAAATATCTGGTCACTAGATGTGATTAGCCAGGATATGAAGCATCGTGTTAAGACTTCCCTTTTTTTTTTTTTTCCGCTTGATTTTACTTGCCATGTATGGTTTGAAAGTAGCAAGTATGTTTTTGTCTTAATGATCAAAGGCCGGTGTAGAAGCAGGGGCCTGATCAGAGTCTGTTACTGGGAGCAGTCCAAGAGGAAAGAGAACAGGAAGGGAGTTACGGTGGATGCTGAGCAAGGTGGCCTGACTGATACCTCTTAGAGGGCTGGGGGCTACGGCACAGCCCACTGGAGGGTGGGACATCCCATCATTTCCTGGAAGGGCCTTTGGAGGACCATCTTGCCCCTCTGCTGCTCGTTTCACAGCAGATTTGGGCTCACAGATGGATGGTCCCACAACAATCATTTCACTATCTTCCCTCTTTGTGTCAGTGACGATCTTGGGTAACAAAACTGTTACAGGAGAGTGATAAAGAAATACATTTTTGCCCTGGAAAGAAATAACCTTTTAAACTTTGCCATTATAACTGAAAAAATAAAATAAAACCTGAGTTTAGTATCTTTATTAAATGTCTGAATTATTTGTGTAAGTCTTAGTACCATAACCACTTAGATGTAAAATAAAATACTAATATTTTTCTTCACTAATGACACACAAAAAAAAGGCAAACATCAAGAGGCATATAGACTGTTCTCTTCCCTTTGAAGTTTTATAATATTTCTTTTAAAATATTTGTTTGGGCTTTGTTTGGGAGGATAGTATGCATGCCTGTACTTGAAAATAGTATGTTAAAACACCTTTTTATTAAGTGTAATATTTATTGGCAAAACAACATTTAATCCTGGATGATCTTTGCTAAAAAGAGCATAAACTCAACTGAAAATAGTGTTAGAAAGTGCTTCAGTAACTTTTTTGGGGGCTCAGAATACTTTTGCTTTAATCCACACATATAAATATATTTTTCCTTTTTTTACAAACTTCATAATGGAATTTTATATTCCTTCCAGTCAGGTCTTCAGAAGACACTGACTTTTACTACACAGAATACCCAAGCATTTCTATTAGGTCAAGTTAAAGGTAGAACAATTTATAATAAAAACCTGTTGAGAGTTCTGTCACTAGCGATTTTATCATTATCTGATGAAGTAAAAATCTTTCAGTAAAGCCAGTTGATTTAAGGGATACATAGTAATACTAAATTTTACACTTTTGAAACTCACGTAAAATCAGATGTGCTGAGAGGGAGAAGTGGGGGGACGTCTGTCCTACTCAGCTTGGCACCCGCACTTGTTAGGCGGAGCGTCACCTGCGGTCACAGGCCCCACGGCGCGTGCTCCCCGCTCACTCAACAGCAGTGGGCGCTCCTGGCTGCAAGGCCACTTTCCCGGCAGATCCTCACCCAGGCCCAGTCCTTGGCTCCTGTCCCCAGGACCTCCCTCTTCTCTGGGCCCAGTCCGTGGAAAGGGAAATAAAAGACTCCACTAAAACTTGGGGCCAGAAGGTGCCACATACAGCTGCATGTCCCTGGCTTAGTGAGAGCCGGTCAGGTGGCCCCACGTAGCCGGGAGCCGGGGGGTGGGGGTTTGCTGGGAACTGAGCCATCGCAGGGCCACAGTTCCTCACAGACGCCTGTACTGGGGAAGGGGAACGCGGGCTGGCTTCTGTGAATTGTCTGTTGTCTCTGACACAATTTAAACATTTTTGTATCTGTTCTGGTCTCCTTTCATTGGGTTCCCATCCTGTAGTACAATAAATACATTTGGTCTTTGTTCCTGACAATTTCCCAAGAGATGGTAGTGTCTCCTGTTATTCATTCTGAGGCCCCTTAGACCATGCCTGAGTTTCCGCTAATGAGGTGACTTAGGTGGGGCCCCTAGACAGCCTCGGGTCAGGGCTGGCCTCCACCAAGACCAAGTGGGATCGCAGGCTCGCCACTCCCAGCCCCACACACCAGTCTGCAGGCTGGGGAGGGGGCTGGAGATGAGGCTCTGGAGACACTCTTGAATGACGGCAGTTCATGAGCTTCTGGGTGGGAGGATCCATCGAGGGCCTGGGAGCCCTGAGGGGGCGTGGAGGTGCCTTGGTCTGGGCGCCTGTCGTTGGCCTGCTCCTGAGTACCTCCTTTATAATAAACCATAATAGTTAAGTAAAGCACTTTCCTGACTTCTGTGATCAGTCCTAGCAAATTACTGAAACTTTTGAGGGGGATGTGGGAACTCCCCAATTTATAACCAGTCAAAAACTACAGGTGGCCCAGGACTTGCGATAAAGTGGGGGCTGTCTTGCGGGTTGTTGTTGGTTAGTCGCTGTGTTCAACTCTTTGGCAACCCCGTGAACTGTAGCCCACCAGGCTCCTCTGTCCATGGGATTTCCCAGGCAAGAATACTGGAGTGGGTTGCCATTTCTTTCTCCAGGGGATCTTCCTGACGCAGGATAGAACTCACATTTCCTGCACTGGCAGGCGGATTCTTTATTGCTGGGCCACCTGGGAAGCCCTAGTCTTGAGGGACTGGGCTGTTAAGTCTGTAGAACTGGACACTAACTCTAGGTGGTTAGTGTCAGAATTGAATTGACTCACAGATACCCAGTTGGTGTCCACAGAGAACTGAGTATTGGTGTTGGAAAATATTTCACATAGAAACCCCACTCATTTATGAAACACTACTTAGGGCAGACTGAATTCATTTGATCTACAGAAGTTACCCACTGGCTGAAGAATAGTGAGCCTTTTTTCTCTTTCCTTTTAGTTATTAATATGCAAAAAGAGAAACTTCTCCAAAAGTTCTGATTACAGGCCCCAGTGTTCTGTTCTGTGATAACACTCACTGATATTGACAGAACACCGAGTTCACGGTCACAGAAGGAATCTGGCCAAGGCCTTGGAGTTTGTCCTTCTGTCTGGGCATTATACCCCATCTTTTACTTTCATGTAAAAATAAACTTTTAAGCTGAAAAAAAAAAAAGACTATTGCCTTAGCACTTGTAAGATAACAATTAAAAAAAAACCACACAATTATTCCAACACACTGGTATTAGCATGAAATAATACCTGTAAGTTACGTTCACATCTAGCTAGTACTGCTTTAAGTTTTACTAAGAGAGCATTCAAGAATAGTTTATTTCAAAATAGAGCTTACAGGACAGGATAGGATATCTTTTATTAAATTTTCACATAAAAAGAAAGAAGTACACAGGGCATTAATTATAAGTAATACCACAATTAATTGGGCATCATCTCTCTGTAAAGAATAGGCAAGCAATGTATCACTTTAGTAACATTTTTTCCTGGTCTTTCACTTTCTGTATTCTCTTTTCTTGATTTCTGATCATTGAAGACATTGCTGAAAATATTGATAAAACAAGGTTAGAAAAGCAACATATACTCAGACTTTAAACACATACTTCTATTATGTATTTCTTAAAAGGTCAGCTTGCTACCATAGAATAGATATGCTGAGCTCAAAAAGTTCTTAAAAAGTGCAAAGTAGCATATTTTTAAAAAAGACTTTAATTATGAAACAGAGCTGAGAGCAAATCTTTGCTCTTTTTGTTGTTTTCAATGAACATGATAAGAATTCCCTGATGGTCCAGTGATTAGGATGCTGTGCTTTCACTGCCAAGGGTATGGGTTCAATTCGTGGTCAGGGAAGCAGCACTGTGTGGCCAAATAAATAATTAAATAGCATGAAGTTATTGTTACAGAAGTAATACATACTGTTGCTGCTGCTGCGTCACTTCAGTCATGTCTGAGTCTGTGCGATCCCATAGACAGCAGCCCACCATGCTCCCCCGTCCCTGGGATTCTCCAGGCAAGAACACTGGAGTGGGTTGCCATTTCCTTCTCCAATGCATCAAAGTGAAAAGTTAAAGTGAAGTCGCTCAGTCGCGTCTGACTCTTAGCAACCCCATGGACTGCAACCTACCAGGCTCCTCTGTCCATGGGATTTTCCAGGCAAGAGTACTGGAGTGGGTTGCCATTTCCTTCTCCAAGTAATACATACTAATTGCAAATAATTTGAACACTTCAGAAGGGTACATAGATAAAAATCATTCTTTGTTTTTATTCCTCCAGTGTATTGAATCTCCTCCTCCCTAGGTCATCACTATAAACATTTCAGTGAATATCTTCACAAGTACATACACACACACAGAGTTTTCTTCTTTACAAAAATGGAAATGTGGTATAAATCGTTCTGCAGCTTGCTTTCATTCACTTAAAATGTCAGTATCTTTCCAGTTCAGCTCATGTTTTGTTATGACAGCACAGTATTACATCGTGTGGATGTACCAACATAATAAATAAATTTTTTAAAGTTGCTTCCTTATTTTTGTTTATAAACAATGCTATAGGAAATACTTCTGTAAATAGATTTTTGTATGTGCAATTTTTCTGGCAGAATAAATTGCTAGAAGTGGAGTTTCTGGGTCAGAGAATAGATGTACTTTAAATTTTGATAAATGTTCCCCACATTCTCTCCAAAATATGTTTCATAATTTCCAAGAGACATTTCATCCAGACAATGCACCCAATAAAAAGATTAAAA